TAAATGTTGGGTTATCAGCATTCTGTCCATCCATCCATCCATCCATCCATCCATCCATCATCTGCTTTTCTGTTCTGTCATCTCAAAAATCAAGCCACCAGCGTATCTAAAGGACATTTAATAAGAATTAAAAATGCCTGCCCAGAAGGAAGAGTAATCAAAGGCTGATGAAATTAATAACACTGACTCTCTCCTTGTATTCTTCAAAGCTGCTGAAATTAACAGTTTCTTTTACCTACTGCACTAGTCACAAAGACTGTGAGCTGGCCTTATTTTCCTCCTACAAGAAGAGTTCAAAAATGGTAATAAATCAAGAAAAGAATCAATCAGGAGGAAGAGACAAAAAGAAGGGATAATCAGTATACAGAAAACATTGCCTTCCCAGCAGGTGTGTAATCTTTCTAAATGCAATTTACTATCACTTTTAGCATAAATCTAACTAAAATGATGTTCCTTTGAATGCTTCAGAACCCTAGGAGTGAAGATTTAAAGAAAATGTCCATGAACAATAACATTACTATATATGTAGAATGTAATGGGCATTTATACTCACATTAAAAAAAACAAAAACAAAACCAACTCTGAACATTTACCAGTCTAAATGGGAACAGATGTGGATTATACTTTTTTTTAAAAAAAAAAAAACATATATGAGATGACAAAGGGATCTCTTCCAGTATTTGTTAATGTTTAAAAGCTCAGAGCGCTTATAGCATCACCAGGCTGTTTGCAAAAGAGTTCATCCCTTGTTTATCATTTTCTGGACTGTGTGATCAAGGGATATCATTTCATCTCATGGCATTCCAGGAAAAGCCAAAAAAGAATCTTCTAATCCACAAAGATGGGTAAAGTTACAATAAATATGCTGTTTTTTAAAAAAAAAAAAACTGGAAAGAACTTACAGAGGATGCATTCATTAAAGATAGATAGATAGATAGATAGATAGATAGATAAAGATAGATAGATAGATAGATAGATAGATAGATATAATGAGTTCATCCACTTGTATATTTAGAGGCAAATGCAATATCTCCCACTCCTATGAATGAATGAACAAACGAATGAATGAATGAATATATACATATTCAGGGTGGGGAGTGGGGGTGGGAAAGACCATTGACAGTGAATTTCATTTGTGGGTGGAATTCATTCCACCATAGATACTTCTGAAGTTAAACTGTCAAATCCATTGCCAGAGGAATTTTCCCATCCTTATCCACTTCTTATAATATTCTTTCAGATACAGAACTGCTGCTAAACCTAAATTGTGATTGATATCTCCCCAAAAATCTTGGGTGAAAGAATACAAATACCCTTTAAAAACGTTTTCTGTTTTGGCAATATTCCAAATTGGATCTTATCTCAATTAATTATTTCCATGCTGCCAGAAATAAGAAAAATCATTTTCGGGGAAGGGAAGGGAAGGGAAGGGAAGGGAAGGGAAGGGAAGGGAAGGGAAGGGAGAGGCAGAAGGTGGAGGGAGGGAGGAAGGAAAGGAAAGGAAAAAGAAAGAGAGAATTATACCACACATACATGAGCAAGGAGACCATATTGGTGATACCTTAGCATGGGTGACACACAAATAGGGGTTCTTTTCTGTGCATGTGGTGTCAGTATTTACATATGTGGTCCCCTAGCTGCTGCTTGAAGAAGTATTACCCAATAACAGGTAAACACTGTTGTGGATTCCACTCATCTCCTTTACCTCTAGAAACTTTGACAGAAACAAAAAGTACCAGAATAACATTGTGCTCAATATATGTTCCATGCACGTCCTTGCAGTCTCCAGGACAACTTCCTCTTGTGGCAAACAAGAACAGACTGGCTCTACAGCAATCTGAGATATGAGACATTTCAAGGACACCTGGGTAAGCCTTGTAAGATCCACCATGAAGGGTGTTTTGAATGAGGAAGCGTCTTTATCTCCATTCAGCCGCTAAATAGGGCTAAGAGCTTCCCCTTTTTTCCCAGGGGATATGAGATGCCTGCTTCAGAGGAAAGAAAGAGAGCCTGGGGGGGGGGGGGAGCAGTGGGGGACAGGTAAGACTTTAAGAGAGGGGGCAGATTTTCCCTAAACTGCTTGCAGGCCAGACTGGAAACTTGTATATGAGGCTTGCAAGGTAGCAATTGCCTTACAGATTGACTTTAAAAGAAGAATGACTTTAAAAGACAGCCTAAGCCTTGATGGCTGATGGAGAGCAATCCGATTTTTATGCATCTTGCAAAGGGTCCCTAAGATCCAACAAATGCTTACACTGGGATCAATTTATCTTTCAAGTGGCATAGGGTTCTTGCCTGTTTTTGAGGCAATAGAAAAATATTGCTAAGCTCTATGGATTGCAGCAAAATCCCACAGGTTGCTTCAGAAGAAACAGAAAGCTGGCATTCATTTTTCAAAGGCTTGCCGTTGGATGAGAAAGAGAGCAGAGCAAAATTTAGGGAATACTAAAGGAACAGGATGCTGGAAATTTTACTCCTTTCTTAATCAGTCATCACGTGGAGGGGAATGGGAGAAAAGCTTTAAACGTGGGATTTGGGGACATGCTGAAGATGTCCTACCTCTCATGGTAGAAATCAAAGGATCTGCACTGCCACAATTAAATCTTAATATTTGTATACTAGTAACAGTCTCCTTTTAGGGTCAACAATTATGCAAACCCATTCACTGCTAGCAACAGGACCCAGTGAATGGGATCCAGTGAATCTCAGAGTTTCCCTAAATAAACTTTGAAGGTATCAAGAAAGTTGTAAGGGGGTGGAGAAACTCCAAAACAGCTAAATAAAAGCAAAAATGCCAGATAGGGTATTCTGGAAAAGGGCCTATGCCATTCCTTTCTTCTTCTCTCACCTCACCCCCATCAGCATACATAATTATGGGAAGGCTTCCCATAATTATGTATGCTGATGAGGATGGGTGAGGAGAAGAAGAAAAGGGAATGCACAGGCCTTTTTCCAGAATACCCTATCTGGCTAAATAGAAATCTTCGAATATTCAACATTTTATTGCCGTTCCTATTTGTAAGACAATGTTCTGTTATTCTTTACGTACCAGTGAGGTCATGGTTGGGCCAAGAGCCCAGCTCACAGGCCCTGCATGTATATTCATCAAAGACAAACTCATTCTCTTTGCATCGGGTGCAGGTCCAACAGCAGCTGACTTCTCCCTTGCGGATAACCTGAGAAGAACACCCAACACATTTTTAAATGCCTTTTGTTTTCTAAAACTCATGATTTGTTATCTTTAAAAAAATGATTCCAGCTTTGTGCCATTTTATCACATCCATCTATTTTTACAAAACCACTGAAGTTGTTAAAGATCCCTTCTACATGAAGGGCTAGGGCTCTTGGCCCCTTTTCCAGATGAGTGTTCAGGTTCTGCCAAACTTGGGGGTGAGTTTTGGATCCCTCCTCACCTCAGGATGTTCTGTTCATCATGGCTATTTCCAGGCATGGTCATTTCAAATCTGCAGCTCAGTTCCTACCTTGGTGTTGGGGGAAAGAATGGACATTCTGCTGAACTCTACAGTTGTATAGTTGACTCTATTGTTTTAATTATATAACTACGTCCATGTATATGTTGGTCACAAGGTTAAGACACTGGCTCTGAAAAGTTGGGAGCTTAGCCTGGAAAACTGTTAGTGCTGTCATCATTAACTCTGGAGCACAGTCTGCCAGGAACCATGGGAAATTGTGTGTGTATGTGTGTGTGTGTGTGTGTGTGTGTGTGAGAGAGAGAGAGAGAGAGAGAGAGAGAGAGAGAGAGA